TTTGGGGGGGGGTTTTTTTTTTTTTTTTTTTTTATTAACTTCACCAAAGTGAAATTGAGATTACAGCTGCTCCGCCAAGCAGGGATCGTGGCCACTTCTAGACGGGCACCAGCTTCTATGCTCAGGATAAAGGGAGGGTTTTGAGGATCCTCCACAGCACGGTGAAGTCTGAACACTGATCCTGTAGGGAAGCTGAGAAAACCTGAGATTGCTGTCAGCTCCTCAGGCTGATGAGGAAAAACAGTCATCTCTTGCCTCTCTTTGCTTTCCCTGCTGGTGGTATGGATGCTAGCTCTTTGCATTTCGCCAAGCCTCACCTCCTTCAAAGGACCTGCAGACATCCTTCAGCTGCAGCGATGATAACACCAGCGCCAAGCAGGTGCCCTTTAATCCCTGGATCTTGACTTCTGCCTCATCTTTCCCTCTCCCATGAGGTGTCTGAAAAAGAAAAGATATTTCATTTAGTTTCTGTGTTTTCGGGTCTCTCCTCTGGTTCCCAGGCATCCAGAGAAGCACAAAACCTTGTGAGCAGGCAGTTCAGATTTAATTAGAAGCTTTTCAGCTATCCCTGATGTCTGGCTGTGGTCTGCTCAATGCCGCGCACTCCGATTTATCGAGTGCTACAACACTGCAGCTGTGTTTGATATCAATACACCCAGAACTAGCTTCCCAAACGCCGTCTAGTTGATGTAAATCCATGCAGGAAGCCCAGAGCTATGCATAAATGGGAAGAAATAGCTTAGGCTGAGCTTAGCTTTGAGGCTACAGACACCTTGTCACCGTGGCAGGGTGACAGGAGACAGTTTGCAGCCGGACTGTTGAGGTTTCTAGCTGGCTGTATGTGCACGTAAATGTCCAAAGTTAACCTTAGGCTACTGCAGGGTCTCCATGAGGGGCCAAATCCTGCTTGCTTTTCTCCTCTGACTAGCACTACTGCTTTTATGAGGCTACCAGAGCCCATAAAATTGTAAGAAATTACTGGATGTGAGTGAAAATCATCTTGTGCCGTCCTGCCCGAGAGAGGATGCAAAACTGGAGATGAACAGCCTGGGTTCACTTTCTGGTTTCAAGCTTGTTCAAGCGGCTGCTGCCTCTCAGGGTCCTGTTCCCTCACCTGTACATGAGACCATTTCCCTGTCCCCAGGGCATGCTGCGGTTTCTAAACGTGAAAAGCATCTGATATATTAAGAGAAAAACCTTCCAGAAGGGGAGAAACTAATGCAAATAGCAAATAGAGATGCATGTGCTTTGGGGGTTGAAAAATTTGAAATGCAGCAGAAGGGGAAAGAGGTCCATGACCACTTCAGGTTGGTGTTTGTTTTTTGCCTTGTCTCCTGTTCCTGTAGCAACCCAGTGATGTCCTAACTCTTCAGTACGAGCCTCTTGCCTTAAAAAATGTTTCCTCCCTGCCACTCAGCCTTGTCCTGGCCTTAGAGGAACCCTTCTTAATCTGTGGTGTGGACCAGCAGCCCCTCCCTGCAGATGCTCAGGTGAGCAGCCATGGACCTTCCTGTTGGTGGGCTTTGAAGAGGGAGGAGCGCGATGGTGCATTTCTGTTGGGAGGTACTCTAGTAGAGAAGCTCATTCTTTAGAGTCAGCTGTAGACAGGCCCAAACTAATTGGATTCGAAACAAGTTGCTGAAGGAAAGGAAATATCTGAATTGGGGAAATATGTCCTGACTCCAGGATGTGAAGAAAGGGGAGCAGGCAACTGGGTCTGGGCAAGCCAGGTAGTAAACATGTCTCCTGGAAGCCATCCCAGCTCTCCAGTAGCCATCCTCAGATAACCTCGAGAGCAGCTTGCTCCCTTCAAGGCCAGCCCTGCTTTCAGGAATGCTGAGAATGCTCCTCTAGCTGCTGCCTGGCTCCTGCCCCATTGTTGGTGGAAGGCTTTGGATATGGACTCTGCTAAATGTGTCACTGTAGGCACGGCCACCACTTCTGTCCCGTGCCAGCGACTAGTGGTCGCAATGCCATTGGACTTGTGCTGTGAGAATAAAGGAGTTCCCCTAGAATCGGGGCAAAAAGGCCCTGGCTTGCCAGAGTGGTGATTAGGTTATGTATTTAGCATATAGCTTTGTGGGTCCAGAATTCAGTAGAACAATATTTATTTTCTCTTGTATCGATGCAGAGACATGAGCCTGAGGTAGAATCATAGAATCGTTGAGGTCAGAAAAGCCCTTTAAGCTCCCCAAGCCCAACCGTTCCCCTAACCCTGCCATCCTGCCACTAAACCCTGGCACTAAGCACCTCATCTGCCCAGCTTTTAAATCCCCCAGGGATGGGGACTCAACCCCTTCCCTGGGCAGCCCCTTCCAGCGCCTGAAAGCCCTTGCAGGGAAGGAAGCCCCCGCTGGCTCCCCGCTCCTGTTCAGGCAGTTGTAGGCAGCGATAAGGTCTCCCCTCAGCCTCCTATTCTCCAGGCTCAACACCCACAGCTGCCCTAGACGCTTCCCAGCAGCCTGGGGCTCCACACCCCTCCCCAGCTTTGTTGCTCTCCTCTGGACGTGTTCCAGCATAGTCTCAGACAAAAGCTTTGTGGTGCTTGTGGTCAGGTGCACACTGTAAATAGACAAGCTGAGAAAGCCACGTTGGGGCCACACGTTGAATATTTCCACGTTTCATGCCGTCAGACCTTGGCATTTCATCACACTGACGATTAATACTCTTTTATCTCCTTGCAGCCCATGAAGCTGGAAATAGGGGAGGAACTTCATCTTTCCATCAGATTTAACCCTGCTTACGAAGAGGATTTGAATATCCGGGTAGCAGAGAAGGTTCTGAAGATACAATTTCTTGAGCACCCTCATGAGGAGCAGGTCACCGTTCGGGGAGAAGTGTACTTTCCCAATCTCTGTATCCAGACTATGGCCCTGGACTTTGGCTGCATCTTGAATGACACTGAAGATGTGCGTTATGTCGAGATGACCAACTGCAGCCCGCTTCTTGTACAGTACCACTGGTCGTTCCTGACAGACAGCCACGTGTACCAGATGAGGTATGTGCACCTTCACCCTCTCCTTAAAGCTCTTCTCCTTCTTGGCGTCCTGTTTAATGCTTCACAAAGACCAAAGTTGTTTGCCTGACATGTTGGTTTCAACTTTCCCTTGTGGAAATAACACCTACCAGTTGTGGTCAGGCCTAATGCTTAAGGAGTAGGTGATCTTCACCAGTTTGACGCTGGGGAAGAGGCAATGTTCTCCAGCCAAGCTGGGACTGTAAGGCAGTACCAGCGCTTTTCCTGTAGCCCATAACCTAGAATCCTGGTTTTTCTCTGGTGCTACAAAGCCATGCTTAGGCACTTGGACAAGCAGATACATAACAAGAGCTCTTTTCCTTCCTTGCCAACCCTATTTGTTGTCATCTCATACCAAGAACCTACACAGGCACTGCCACCAGAACGATGTGCTGCTGTCCCAGTCCCTTGCTGCTTCACTGTAGCCCCTGTACTGGTTCTGCTGGGAAGGAAAGCTGGTGTGGAAAGCTGCTTTCTCAGACCCTTGTGGCCTGAGGCAAACACCACCCTGAAGTGAGTTTTCATCTATTAAACTGCAGGTCACATTCACAAAACAGCTATTTAGCGTTTTACAGCCAAACAGCAGGTTCTGCTGTGGCTTCGGGTACAGCTGTAGGTGTTGGCGGGAGGACTTGTCTGAACGTCCCCAGGGAGCAGGACCATCCAGCACTGGTTTGTGGTTTCCAGGCCCAAGAGCAATCTTGCAGGCAGGCTGGAGCACATCTAAAAACCCATTTCTAAGCAGTTCCTCCCTCTGCGGCCTCTCTGCGTAGTACCAAAGTCTAGTCTGGGCAGTTTTAATTACAGTAGCAAATGGTTTTTCCATAATGCCTTAGGAAACTGGGCAAAGTTAACCGTTGTGCACTGAAGTGCTGCTATTACAAATAACAGACATCATCAATAAACAGTTTTGTTTAGAGAATCGGGATCTAGCTCAGAGGAGACGACCTATTGGGAACTGGAAATTAGCTGTGGCAATGAGGAGGGCTTGGGGGAGAAGACCTGGGTGCTGAGGGAGCCCATTCACAGCTGGGTCTTACTGAGGAAAAAAATCTTTAGTGGGGGCCCTTCTGTACCTTCAGAACAGACCCTAAAACGCAGAGGAAAGTCTGCAAAAGCAGGTGGAGGGTGGTGGGCAGGGAATGAGGAGCAGGGCTGTAAGCTCTGCGTGGAGGCCCCTGTCATCTCCTGGTGAATTAGATTAGGGTTTAATTACAAGCTAAAGGGAAAATCTAATTTTGATGGTAGAATAATGCATATATTTTATAATAAGAGAGAAACAAGCACATTACAGCGAAGTCTGTGTGGAATTAATTTCCTCTGGGGCCACTTGTTGGCCGGGTGCCTGTTTATCTTTACTCTTTTTTTCTTTTTTTTTTTTTTTTTAGAACCAATTTAGGTTTTTGGAAATGTAAATGCTGAATCAGTTTTCAACTTTTAATTACCTCGTGTCCACCTAAATTGGCTTTGCTGGACCCGAGCCTGCAGGTGCCCGTTCTTCCAGCAGATGCCGAATCACCCAACTCTGCCGAGTCAGTAGCAGTTGAGGGTCCTGGGCACCTGGCAGGTGATAGCAGCCTCTGCTCCGAAGGGTTTGGCATTGCCCCTTTGCTGGCTCGTTAGCGCCATGGACGTTATGACAGCTCCCTTTTCTGCTCTGCATGTTAATTAAGCAGTAATGTACTCTCTCCGGGTCCCTCAGCAGACACCATGTGATCCTCTGTGGCAGAGCTGGAAATGAAGACTGTCTCCAAGCTATTAACACCTCAAATTGCTCATTAAGAGCCCAGCAGAAGGGCAGCATGTCAGATATTATTTCTGGTCCACATTAAGCACTGTTGGTATTCTAAATTATCAGATCAAACTAACTCAGTCTGACATCGAGGGAATCCAAGCATCAGGTCTCATGAAGGTGAGATCAATAGAATTTAAACATCCATACATCTCGCCTTGCTGGAGCCCATCATCAGAGACTCCCAGCATCAATCAGACACACACATTTCTTCTGGCCAGGAGAGAAAAATGTTGTTTCTTTGCCTGGACAAGACTGTGTGCTTAAATCTTTCATTCTTCTAATTGTTCAACCCATTTTTTCTTCCTTACTCTTCAGTCACTGGTGCCACTTTGAGCAGGGTGATCATATAAGTAATGCGGTCCAACCGTTGCTGTGCGGTTGGACATGGCCAACTCAAGCCAAGCCATGCCCCTTCTCTGACACTGCTGAGCCATAAATCTCTTGTGGTTACTCCTCTTCTAGACCTGTATGGTTAGAGACAGGCTGAGAATTAGTCCCACCTCACCCCTTGGACCTTTGGTAGCTCAAAGCTGAGTTAAGCCTTTGTACCAAGATGTTTTCTGCGGCCTTGGAATGGATCTCTGGAATCAGCCAGCAGGAGATAGTAGATATGGAGCTAAATTCAAATGTTTCATCATGTTTCTTCTGCAAGGATTGGTTTGTCCTCCATTCTAAGGGCAGTATCTAGCTTTAGGGACAGGGTTTAGTGGTGGGATGGCAGGGTTAGGGTAACGGTTGGGCTTGGTGATCTTAAAGGGCTTTTCCAACCTAAGTGATTCTATTCTATTCTAGCTCCTCAGCTTTGTTTGGGATTCCCATAAAAAGGAAGACATTAAATCCAAAGGATATACAAGGATTTCCCTAGAGACCTGTGTCAAGGGCTGCCAAACTTAGCTGTTCTCTGGACTTTTGTCCTTTATTAGAGGATCCCTGCCTCATCATTTACTTTGAGCATTGCTCTTCCTGTCTCACCTCGTTGTCCCCTTCACGCAAGATGCATTCCCTCCCTGGGACAGAGCTCACACGTGCTGAGTGGTCTGTGTGCCAGGAGGGATCAGCAGAGAGCTCTGCACCTCTGTGGCACGCATCAAACCCCCTCTGTGCATTGATCTGACGTCTCTGGAGGGTGGGGGCTTCTTGGCTACAAATCCAGTCTAGTGAATTGCCAGTAGATTATTCAGGGGAGAAAGGTTTGTTGAGCTTAACATGGAAGAAATGACTCTTTCCTTTCCATCCAGGATTTTCTTGTCCAGTTTGTTTTCAACAAACCAGGAGCCTTTCTCCTCCCAAGTGGGTCTTCCTATGGCACTAGTAACTTCTCATGCCTCTGCCTTCTCTCCATCCACGTCCCCTGGCAGGCTGCGCTGCAGGGACCCTGCGAGCCAGATCCCAGCCTTGTTACCAACAACAACAACAAAAACCAATTCCATGTTATATTTGATGGGTTTCTTGCTTTGTTGTTTTTATAACAAGGAAGAAATGGAAAATGCAGACAGTGAAAAACAGTGCAAGGCAAAAATCTGACAGCAGTGCTCTGTCAGCCACCGGAGGGGAGAGGCAGCGACACCAGCAGTGAGAAAATACATCAGAAACACCTATGTCCACTGTGCCCCTGATGCTGGGGAGTCTCGGATGGGGGTAATGCACTCTTCTCACCCACCAGCGCTATCAGCTCCTCGGGGTACGGTGTTGTGGTCTTTGGTAGCCCCATGGGTGCTATTTTTCCTGCTTAAATCCTGTGGGTGACTTAGAAAAGGAGTCGTGATGTAAATATGTGTGGTTTGGCAGCAGCAGAGATGCGGTTTGGTCGGTGTAACGGAGGAAGGGGCTGCTTATTTATTGGAGATGGAGTGAGTCTCTTGGAGCACGGGCTGGGTGCTGGGCGGGCTTCCCCCCTGGGGTGGCAGCGGCTGCTGTGAACGGCTTGCGGAGAGGCTCTGTGGTCATGGATAGAGGCACTGGGAAGATGAAGCAAAGGAGGCGTTGGGAAATTTGCTCCCTGATCCATCCAGACAGAATGAAAAGTAAAATGCAGTGAGTGCCAAGGAGGGGTTTGGAGCCAGGAGTAAGCAAGCGTAGGCTGTTACCAAGTCTGTTAAGAGACATAAACCTGGGTATTGCACGTGGGTCAGTGATGCTTGGTCAGGACAAAGGCTGGGGGGTCATGATTTCCCATTTGCAGCACGTCTGTAAGCTGCTCTTTTCCACCTTCACCTTGATCCTCACCACGTACCTCCTGGCTCAGCACGGCTTTTTCCCAGCTCATTTGCTGGGAAGCTTCAGGTTTGAGACAGCTTCTGCTGCCCCAGGGCACACCTGGAGGACTTTTACCTGGGCCATCGCAATGGAGGTTGGAGCCTAGAACGGCTGCGTGGGAATCGCTTTAGCTATTACACTTAGGTTTTCTGAGGCTCAGCCTCCTCCTCTGCACAAGCGTGAAAGACCCTGGGAGCTTTCTTTTGCCTTGGTGGACTGGGGAGCAGCCCCAGGGTGTTGGAGCCGTGGACTGAGGGCAGGGGAGGCGAAGGAGAAAGCATTGCTTGGGTGAAAAGCACCGCACTTCCCACCCGAGGTGCTGTCTTGCAGCTGGATGTCTCCCTGGCTTTGTCCTGTGCCATCAAGACAAAGCGTGGGAGATGCCCAGGTCTCGTCCACACCCTGAGGATGGCTCTCCATCCATGGCTGGAGAGCTGCCCAGCGGAAAAGGACCTAGGGGTGTTGGTCGACAGGCAGCTGAATATGAGCCAGCAGTGTGCCCAGGTGGCCAAGAGGGCCAGCAGCATCCTGGCTTGTATCAGGCCTGGTGTGGCCAGCAGGAGCAGGGCAGTGACCGTGCCCCTGTGCTGGGCACTGGTGAGGCCGCCCCTGGAATGCTGGGTTCAGGGTTGGGCCCCTGCCTCCCAGAAGGACCTGGAGGGGCTGGAGCGTGTCCAGAGAAGGGCAAGGAAGGGGGGGGGGGGTGGGGAGCCCCAG